CTGACAGACTTACAAACTGATACTGTGACTCAAGAGCTAAGGTCCCACGGACCGCTCTGACAACCAACGATGACTTGACGATAGTGCGGCCAACATACGACAAAGAGGTCCGAGAGAGAGATGGAGCTAGTCAGGGCAAAAAGCGCGCGGACTTGAATGAATTGCGTAGGAAACCGAGGATTCTTAGAGAAGATTTAAAAGTTATTCAGGCAACTGGAACGAGATAAAATCCTGGAAACGTAATTATAATTAAGAAACCAAGTTTATTTATTTATATATACATATGTATGAAACTTGACAATAAATTCTCCTTTACACATTTGAAGATATAAAAATTAGTATTTAACATAAGTAATTAATAATTCAGGTAGCAAAGAGATTATATGTATGCTTATAATTAACTTAACTGCTCTAATATGCTATATCTTACATATAAAAATAAGAGATCTAAGAAATATCACAATAAATACATGTTATTTCCTATATATCTTTATAATGTTCCAAATAGTATTTATGCACATTTAAATTTATTTTTATAGTACTGAGGCTGTCAACACTAAATGTAGTGGGAACACGTCCAGTTTTGTAGAGATTAAAGTGTACAAAGAAAAAACCCTTATATATATATATATATATATATATATATATATATATACAGGGTGACTTCGAAGTTGAGTCATTTATTTTAACAGTGTGTAGATCTGATCAAAAGAAATGTTTTTTTCCTTTACCATTTTTCTGGTAAAATTAAAGTAACAAAGTTATAGCCCTTTGGAAGTTTGAGTACCGCCCTGTCTCAATAATATCATGTGTTCGTGTTATTTGGCAACAACGGTTCATCGCATCGGAAACAAAAAAGCGAAAGAATTTGGAACGATGTTTTTACGATTACAATTCAGTTCAGTTATACATACAGTCAGTTTCAGTCGCGTGTGAATAGTGTGTGAAATAAAAAATGGCACATGTTTATGCGGATCGGTTTCCCAATCGAGTGCAACCAACCCCTCGTGCCTTTGTTAATGTAGTACAACGGGCTCGTGAATCAGGTGACTTAAGACCTCACAGGGGACCTCACGATCAAATACAGGTCCGCACTGAAATACTTGTCGGGAGGATACTTTGTAAAACAAGGTAAAATTTTTTTTTAATTTTTTTTTTATTTTTACACACATATTTTGGTTTATCTTCCTTCTACAATCATTATCTGAAAATTAATGACTCAACTTCAAAGTCACCCTGTATATATATATATATATATATATATATATATATATATATATATATATGTATACAAAATATTTGTCCGCCAACGGGCCACTTATTTAGGTCAATTTAATATCATTAACACGCAAAAAGAAGGTGATAGACAAGGACCAGTCGACCGAGGCGGTACCACCCTATAGCTTTTCCGAGGGTGTCTTATAAATGTCCGCATGTTTCCACACCTAAGCTATGCAGTCGGTTTTCTTCCAAAACAAAGAAATTAATGATGATGGATCCCTCGAGTACTAAGAATTCCGGATGTAAGCTCACTCTACTCTCAGAATGTCGGGGTAGAGGGTGGACTCGAGGGAACAACATCGAAGATAAAATTTATTTCACGAACATCTGCGGGATTAACAGCAACATTGATGCTGTTCATCACTACTTGCAATCCAATCATCCCGCCATGCTTTTCTTGGCGGAGAAAAAATCTCAGAGTCCGCACCGATTAACCATCTTAGCTTATCAAATTACGAGGTGCACTCCAATCTGAGAAAGAAAGGCTGAGCTGTGGCCTTTGTCCGCAGCAGTATTTCCTGCTGAAATCAGATCGCAAGGTCATTCTGTGGCTTCGCCTCAACTCCAAAACATCCCCCAAATTTATTTGCTACCTTTATCGCTCCCCTCGGACCATAACTGGGATGACCTTCTTGAATATCACTCCGCTTTAGAGTTCTCCTCGATGATTTCAATGACCGTAATTCGCTTTGGTTGGGCTCAAACAAGACCGATGCAGGAGGTCGTGCAGTTAAAGCGTTCGCTCTTACTCAAGGGCTGACCCAGCTGGTGGTGCTGTTGGATCTCTTTCTGACCACGCATCCTGTCCCTTACAGCTCTGCTGTCCTGTCTCTCCTGGGTAACTCAGACCACTGTGTTGTGGAGGTTAGGTTTCGGTCAGAACCCGCTGTTTCAGCAGAAACTCGCACAGGCCGCAAACTTTGTCATTACGTACATGCCGACTGGGAGGGGCTCAGAGACTTCTTCTCTACCTTTCCTTGGAGAAATGTCTGTTTCACTGACGCGGATGCGTCGGCTGTCTGTTCTTCGACAACCGAAATTATCCACGTAGTAATGGAGGAATAGATGTCTCATACTGCTGATATAATAGAAGTGCTTGATTGTGTCACTAGTCTTAATCTCATTGTTTTGTGTGGAATAGACTGAGATATGTCTCGGGGTCCCTCAGAATGTTTTATTTATTTTTTGTCGGTTAACAGCAATGAAGTTTTTTATGTTTGAATCTTTAATATTATTACACTAGCTAATTATAAATACCACGTCCTTATTTTGTTCTCATATAATAAAATATTGGCTTTCTGAGCAATTTCCATGTTTTTTTTCAAGCTGGCCTTGACCAGATAGAACACAATGGATTTAAGGAGCAATAATAGGATAAATTCTAGAAGTTCCACTGAAGTTAAAAAATGACCAGCCCCAAATATCGTTTCCGCCCCCCCCCTAGGCGAAATCCTGAATCCGCCCTTGGTCTTGAGGAACACTGTGGAACTTCATGTCCTTGCAAGGATTGGTTGTCGGATCTACATCCCACAACAGCACACCGCATTTTTCAATTTAGTATCAAGTATGTATAACTAATACAACAAGTTACAAACCCACCAAAAATCACAAACAAATCGCACTATATAGTATTAACCACGATACACGTGCGCTGCAGTAACGTTACGACAATCCTGTCACTGGTAACCACGAGCCGACAACTCTCTGGGTAACGTCACGAAGCTCCGCCCACATGCGCAACATCCTGTTTTCAGTGTACGTATATCGTGAAACTCTCCTGTCAGTGTCAAAAACGACCGACATTTCGGCGGAGAAAGTCCAATGTAAATTCCCCCAGTACAGCGATGAAAGATGTTTTAAGTGTTCAGCAGCAGCCAGTGTTGCCTCGTGTCAAGCCAGCTGAGCACTAAAAATTCTTTCATATTTGTTCTGGGGAAATTTACATTGGCAGATATATGGAAAATATGTGTGACTTATTATGTCTAACAGGTGCATATCACTGAGATCAACAGCTTCTTAATAATATCAGAAGGTCCTTCTCTGAAACCAAATTTGCAACAATTTACAACCATTTACCGCATACAGTTTCCAGCCTACAATTTTCATCCCATCCAAACAATGTCTGAAACTGAGCAGGAACCTCTGAAAGGTTAGAACACTACGTTCAAGCGATTTTATTTCTGGCGCCTCTGAATCAATTTGTAAAAGTCTACGACTGCCTCAACGATGGAAGTATTAAACGCGATAATATTCGAACTTCGGTTCACAAGTTTTCTGTTGCTTAAGGATATTTGGATCACACAAGTCCGTGTTTCTCATTTATGTCGGTTTGCCACTCCGTGTCTGCTGTATATCAATGCGTCATAAGTACTGAGTCAATCTACTTGACGAAATATTCAGAGAACCAGGTAGATATAAAAACAGTCAAGTCACCATCTACAAGAAAAGCATCGCAGAACGTTATAGTACGAACTACGATATCAAAATATTGATAAAATATATGAATATTTCACCTGTAGTGATGTGTTAGTGACGACACTACCGCAGACCAGTTGCAGTTTGTTAGCCGTTGCACAGTTGGCAGTGGCCTCCACGATGCAGCATCGTGCATGCGATGCCAAGTTATTCAGAATTAAGAGCACATTATACATCTATTACACTTACAGCCGTTTGCACCGACTTTCATTTGAGTTTCCTGTTGTTTATCTTAATATTTTTTTTACTAATACTAAAGACGTTACATTTACAACCCCTTACTTCCTACAATCCCTACCTCCTAAGTTTCCACCCTACAAAAAAAATCCGATAATGATCAGAACCCTCTATAACGTCAAAAAACGAAGCTTAAGTGATTTTTTTTGGGTTTTTGCCCCTAACCCCGCCACCACTAAACCGATTTTTCATTCATTGGCATAGTAGTAACCTTGTATGAAAATAATAATGACAGACAAACAGCCAGTCAGACCGAAATGAGTGACATCCAAAAAAACATAATATCTCGATTTCGAAATCTTTCGCGATTACAATACTTAATCGCCGGTTTTGGCATAGGAAGTAAAAACACGGAAAAAGCAGGTACATAAAAAGCAATCTGATCATATCGTATCTCGTACAGACACTTACTATCCTGTACAAGTATGAGATTTCTCGTACGTCTGGCAACTCTGACCGAAAGCAATTCCCAAAAGTTTTCTGTGGGGTCGCAGCTTGCAGTTGTGTTAACGGCTCTTCTCTGACTGACTCATGCCTTTTAGACACGGCTGCATTTATACCGCTGTATGGTCTCCTATGGAAAATTCGAGTATAATCAAAGGTTACCTTCCGATGTTCTAGGCCAGTAGTTCCGCATGTTGGTCGCCCGATAGATGGCGCTAATGGTTGCGTTCGTAAATTGTTTCACGTACTTGTTCCATGCGTTCGGAAATAGAACAAAGTAATACTTTTGGATCCTCAATAGTATGCTTTTCTTGTCGTGCTCAAAACCTTGGAATAAGGGTGTTGTCACTTGCCATTACCATGGTTTATTATCTGCTTACTTTATTTGGTAAGAAAAAAGTGCTCATAACTGGCAAAATATATGGGCTACCTCGTAAATCGTAGTTAGAAAGTAGTTGGCTGTCATCAAGCATCATCACATGACTGCAATAATTTAGGCGTTCTAAAAATACAGTTTCAGGGTATTCCATAGTAAAATTTAATCTGTCAATCTATATTACATTACAGTACCAAAAGTGCTCTGGTATTTCTCAAATTTCATGGGTCTAACACCAGCAATTAATTTATTTCTTTTTACAAGTCTCCCTTGGTGGTGCGAGGAGTGAAGTTTTTCTGAAGTATTTGTGTTATGTGCATTTATATGCGAGAAACTGCAGCAATTTGAATATAATATACGCCACCTCGTTTATAAAAAAGTATACCAAGCTAAAAAAAGGGGTGTGAATGAAAAAGAGTTATTTCTGGTATTTTATTTAGAAGCCTGTGTTATAGTCCGGTCGATTTGGATCAATATGACAAAAGGCAAGTTCAAGACCTGTGAATGTGGTAAATGTAGAAATAATATAGCTAAGACACAATATAGTTTGAAATGTGCTGGGACGTGCGGGGGATGGTACCATAGGAAATGTACTGGTCTATCGGACGAGCAATTTTTGGCTTATGAGAAGCGTAAGACTGATCAAAAGTAGTTGTGTGGCAGATGTGGTAGAAACAGGCATTCTTCGTCATCAGATCACTCAGACGCGTCTGATCCCGTACCAATGGATAATCCCTGTAACAAAGACATAATGAAAACTAGACAACAGAAGTTTTCAGAAATAGAAAAGGCCCTTAATTTTAATGGCGAAGTGATGGAGGACTTACAAATAACAGTAAAAGCTATATCAGATGAGAATATTGAGTTGCGAAAAACACAAGAGCATCTTAAGAATCGTGTTGCTGGACTGGAAAAGGAGGTAGTAACTTTGAAGAAAAAGGTTTCTAGATGAAGATGAAGCTAGGAAGAAAAGGGTGATTATTACAGGAATTACAGGAAATCAGAATATTGATGAAAACGTCAAAAAAGTCTTTTCGAAATTGGATATGGGGGAACCCAGCTATAAGGTGTTTGTTCTTTCTAAGGCTGAGGAGGATCCTACTGTGGTGGCTGTGCACTTAGATTCAGTGGAACAACATAATACGGTTATAGAAAAGAGAAAAAAGGCTATCACTGAGCAATCAAAACTGCAGCATCTGTGATTCTCAAGCTAGAATATTTATTATTGAAGATCTTCCAAAGGAAACTAGAGAAATTTATAAAGAGGCAAGAAAATTGAAGATTTCTGGGTTTGATGCAGAAATGGCCAGATCTATGCCAGGAAGGCTGATGGGGAAGTTGCATTGAGGATCAAATCATTAGCAGACATAGAAAATTTAAAAAAAATGAGTGTTCATTTCTATTTGTTAGTGTTTTTTTATTGAATCCATTACCTTTTTATGAAAGATTTATCATTTGCTTTTATTAATGTAAGATCGCTTACAAATAATTTCTTTGAATTTAAACAGTTTAAGTTAGAACAGAAATTTGATATAGTTGGTGTTTGTGAGACGTCGTTGCATAATGGGATTCCCAATTCTAGTATTCACATTAATGGTTATATATTTTTCAGGTTAGATAGAGCGAGTAGAGGCGGTGGTGTAGGAATTTACATAGCAGAATATATAAAATGTAAAACAATAAACATTCTCCATAGCGAAGCAGTAGAACAAATTTGGTTAGAATTTTGTATAAATAAAGAGTATTTCAAGTTTGGCACACTTTATAGGCCACCAAGTAAAAATGTATGTGACTTCCTACTTAATCTTGAAGCAAATCTCACTGAGCTTTATTTAAATTCTGGTACTATCATTTTTGGTGGAGACATCAATATTGATTGTTTGAACTTTCAGAAAAATCAAGTTGAGGCCTTTCATAACTGTATTGAACTTTTTAATTTATCTCAATTAGTTAATTCGCCCACTCGTATCACTAATACTTCTGCTTCTCTTATTGATGTCATCCTGGTGTCTAATGATTTAAATGTATCTGACAAAGGAACAATATATATTGTTGATGTGTCTGATCATTTGTTGGTCTATTGTACTTTGAATATGAAAAGTGTTGCAATGGAGAGTAGTAAATATGTTAGAAACCTTAAAAATATAGATAAGGATATCCTAGAAGAATTTTTGCAAATTTCTCCTTTTCTTGACTTATTTTTCATAAATAATATAAATGAAAAGTTTATTCTTAATATTTTTGACACTTTAGCTCCACTAACTGAGATTAAATTTAAACATTTTAAGCCGCCAATGGTTAACCGCCAATGTTAAATTAATGATGTCTCTTCGTGACAAGGCGTTTCGAAAATTTAAAAGGACCGGTTTGCCGGAACATTGGCATTACTATGAGGAATCTCACCACCAATGCCGTCAGGGATGAACAAAAATCATATTTTAAGTATTCGTTTAACAGCTACCGAGGGAATTCAAAGGCTATCTGGAAGAAATTGCAAAGCCTAGATATTGCTGGCAAGTCTAAAATGCCAAATATACCTGCAGAGTTTGATGATCCGAATGACAAGCATTTTCTGATTTCGTCATCAAACAATGTTGATCCTGATCCTGAAAAGCCATTGTTTACAAATATCTTTATGAAATAAAAACTCTTGCAACTGGAGCCAATGGTATTAATACAGAAATGCTACTTTTATGCTGTCCGCACGTTTTACCAGCCATAACGCATATTATTAATTGTATATAGATGAATATGATTTGATGCCTTCATTTCAGTCAGGGTTTCGAAAGGGTTTTAGTTGCACGACAGGGCTTCTACATAGTCATGCCATAAGTTCTGTCCCTCGTTTTCAAACAAGTGTAGACCTGTTAATACTTGTCCGATTGTTTACATTGTGGTGTCAGTTGATTAAGCGCTTTTCGGGTAATTACATATACCTCAGTTTGTATTGATCTCTCGAAGCATAACGATGGAGTGGGGCAAGGCAGAGAACCGTATTGCAGTGATAGCTTTACATAAGTGTAATCACAGTGCTAGTCAGATTTTTGAACTCTCACGCGGCCTTCAAATATCGCGTAAATTTGTGTCTAGGACCATTCAGCGGTACAATGAGACGTCCTCTGTTGATGACAGGCCAAGAAGCGGAAGACCTCGTCAAGTAAGGACTCCAGCAGCCATCAAAGCCGTAAAAGCCAGGATTCAAAGGAATCCACTCCGGAAGCAGAAGATCCTATCCAGGGAAATGAAGATTCCTGTCCGGACGATGTCGCGCATCATTAAACAAGACCTAGGGCTAGGGGCTTACCGGAGACGTACGGGCCAGCGACTTACGGCCACCTTGCGACACATCAGGGCGACAAGATCCAAGAAGCTCTTGGAGAGGTACGCAGCTGGGGGATTCCGAAAGATTTTGTTCACGGATGAGAAAATCTTCACCATAGAAGAAAAATTCAACCGACAAAATGACAAAGTGTATGCAAGGAGTTCACAGGAAGCTTCGGAGATCATTCCGAGAGTTGAGAGAGGCCACCACCCTGCGTCAGTCATGGTTTGGTGGGGGGTGTCCTACGAAGGGGTCACTCAGCTCCATTTCTGTAAACAGGGCGTGAAAACAAAAGCGGCAAACTATCAGAGCGACATACTGGATCCTATCGTCAAGCCTTTAAGTGGTACATTGTTTGCCAACCAACACTGGGTCTACCAGCAGGATTCCGCCCCCGCTCACAAGGCTAAGAGTACGCAGCGCTGGCTGGAAAGCAATGTGCCAGAGTTCATTGCTGCGGAAGATTGGCCCTCAGGGAGTCCGGACCTCAATCCTTTAGACTACAAGTTGTGGGACCTGCTAGAGCAGTTGGCCTGCTCCAAAGCCCACCGTAATATCGAGTCCCTGAAAGCGGATTTGATCCGATCAGCGGCAGCTATTCCTTTGGAAGCTGTGCGTGCAGTGATAGATGAGTGGCCCGCGAGATTGAAGCAGTGTGTGAAGGCCAAGGGGGGACATTTTGAATAAAACTGTTTGATTATGAATTCTAAAAATGTTGTCGAATAAATAAAATCTTTCATATAAATATATCTTATCTTGTTTCATTTTTATCATGAGATTATCATGGGACAGAACTTATGGCACGACTACGTAGTTGTTACGAACGAAATTATCAGGGATATTGATAACGGCAACACAGCGGCACTTGTATTGCTTGATTACACAAAGGCATTTGATACAATTAATCATCAGTTAATGTTTTCTATTTTAAAATACATGGGATGTTCCGTTAATGCTATTAAACTATTCAAAAGTTATTTCTCGAAGAGGACGCAGTTTGTCATAACCTCTTCCGTTTGATATATTCAAAGCCTTATTTATATGCTGATGATAAAATTTTCATTCTCTCATACAGATACAACAACTGCGGTTACATTATTGAATGAAGATCTTAATAATTTCACAAATGAAAGCATAGCACATCAGTTATCCGTAAATCCAACAAATGTTTTATTGTTCGGGAAACACAAAAAGAGCGTGGCAGATTCATTCCATATTTCAATTAATAATAATGTTATTCCTCATACATCCGCTATTAGGAATTTAGGCTTGATTATGGATAGTGACCTGAGGTTTTCAAAGCATGTTGATAAGTGCATTGGCCGTGCTTATGGTCGGCTTAAAATGTTATTTCCACATCGTCATATCTTTTCTACCGAACTTAATTAAGTCTTTGCTTTGTGACACGCTTGTTCTGTCATTATTTAATTACTGCGACTCAGTTTATGGGCCTTGTATAACAAGGTATGATGTTGATCGTATACAGCGTGTCCAAAACTCTTGTCTTAGGTTTATTTTTGGAGAGAAAAAATTTGAACATATTTCTTATAGGATCGCTAAATAAATCTGCACTCTGCATTTATGTTTCATAAAATTATTCTATATAAAACTCCGCCTTATTTATATAATAAGATTACATTTCGAAGTGATGTTCGCAATATCAATGCTCGGTATCGGATGCTGATTTCCCACCCACGTCATCGTACATCTATGTTTAACAGATGTTTTTCTCATTTTATCTACTACTTGTATAATCACGTCCTCACAAACCTTAAGTCTATGTCTGTGTCAGCTTTTAAAAGAAGTTAAAGAAAATTTCGATTAGATGAATTGTAGTGTTTACTTTATATTGTTCCTTTCCTTTTTATATTTTAAATGTTCTTTGTTTTTGTTATATATGCTTAAAATGATTTGACATTTTTCGTTAAATTATATTTTTTATATAATTTCTTTATATACATATATTTTTTTGACGTTTGTAATTATCATTTATTAATTATTAATATTAGCTTATATAATTTGGTTAAAACTCGTCTGTTGTAATTTTGTTTGTTGGGCTAGTACTTTGATCAGCTCGTCTGTTTACTAGTCCCTTTTGCAGGGAATTCATGTTGTTTCTTCATTTTTAATTTTTTTTCTTTGTATATTTTTTTGCTCTGCAAATAAACACTATTATTATTATTATTATTATTATCATTATCATCATTATTATTATTAATACCATAATTAATCGCTTCTTTCATCAAGCCAACCGCAGCAACACCAGAGAATCAGCCTCCAAGTAGTGTCGTTCAGTGTAGTGCAAAATACTCGATTGTTCACTTAAATATCCAAGGTCTAGCTAATAAGATAGATGAACTAAATATCTTCTTACACAACCAAATATGCGACTTCCTTTGCATCTCAGAACACTGTCTAAAGCATGAACAGCTTGTTGCAACTAAAATTATCAATTTCTCACTAGCATCCTCATACTGCCGCCAGAATAGACAGCATGGGGGTGTTGCGATTCTCACCCGTAAAATGGTATACTTCCGAAGCAGGTTAATCTAACTGCATTTGTTCAACCTTTTCATGCTGAGCTTGGTGGAATAGCTATAGGGAATACTATAATTGTCACTGCTTATAGGTTATCTACAACTAGAGATGTTTCAGTTTTTATTGAAACCCTCGATACAATATTACATATGCTTGTTGTGAAGTTAAAGAAAATTTCGATTAGATGAATTGTAGTGTTTACTTTATATTGTTCCTTTCCTTTTTATATTTTAAATGTTCTTTGTTTTTGTTATATATGCTTAAAATGATTTGACATTTTTCGTTAAATTATATTTTTTATATAATTTCTTTATATACATATATTTTTTTGACGTTTGTAATTATCATTTATTAATTATTAATATTAGCTTATATAATTTGGTTAAAACTCGTCTGTTGTAATTTTGTTTGTTGGGCTAGTACTTTGATCAGCTCGTCTGTTTACTAGTCCCTTTTGCAGGGAATTCATGTTGTTTCTTCATTTTTAATTTTTTTTCTTTGTATATTTTTTTGCTCTGCAAATAAACACTATTATTATTATTATTATTATTATCATTATCATCATTATTATTATTAATACCATAATTAATCGCTTCTTTCATCAAGCCAACCGCAGCAACACCAGAGAATCAGCCTCCAAGTAGTGTCGTTCAGTGTAGTGCAAAATACTCGATTGTTCACTTAAATATCCAAGGTCTAGCTAATAAGATAGATGAACTAAATATCTTCTTACACAACCAAATATGCGACTTCCTTTGCATCTCAGAACACTGTCTAAAGCATGAACAGCTTGTTGCAACTAAAATTATCAATTTCTCACTAGCATCCTCATACTGCCGCCAGAATAGACAGCATGGGGGTGTTGCGATTCTCACCCGTAAAATGGTATACTTCCGAAGCAGGTTAATCTAACTGCATTTGTTCAACCTTTTCATGCTGAGCTTGGTGGAATAGCTATAGGGAATACTATAATTGTCACTGCTTATAGGTTATCTACAACTAGAGATGTTTCAGTTTTTATTGAAACCCTCGATACAATATTACATATGCTTGTTAATAGGTATAAGAACTTTATTATAATTGGAGACATAAATATAGATGTAAGTCTGGAAACTTCTGATACCAAGAAGTTACGATGTATGCTAAACACATTTGGGTTCCGCCACTGTATCACAGACATGACGAGAATTACGGAAACTACGCGATCTTGCCTGGACAATGTCCTTACAAATATTGATCCCGACATGATGGCATGTGGTACCTGTGATCCGGGCATTTCTGACCACAAAGAGGGGTGTACATGGTAATGTACGACGCTCAGAATTTTACTTCTGGGGCACCATCTGTGCTAAGGCGTATCCTATCTAATGATCGTATCTTGTCCTTTGTTAACCGCGTATGTAAATCGCCTTTGCGCATCCTTCCACATTCTTCCGCTGCTGTCGCAGTGGATGCGTTTCTTCATCAAATAAACATTTTTGTGGAGGACTGTTTTCCACTCAAAAGAATTCAAAAAAGAACTTCTCCAGTTAACTGGTATAATGACAGGCTGCGTCAGATGCGAAATATGATTGAGCTTAAAACAACATTTAATGCTACTAAAGACGTAAAGATCTGGGAAGACTTTAAACTGAGTCGAAACATTTATAGGAAAACTATTAAGGAGGAAAAAAGGAATTGTTACGCAAACATAAATGAAAACTCACACAATAGAAATAAATCTATTTGGAAAGTTGTCAATGCGGAGAATAAACACAAAACATCTACTAAAACTAATTTGAATTCTGAAGAGTTGAACATCTTCTTCACATCTGTAGCTAGCAAAATACTAAATCAATTGCCTGTATGTAGTTATGGTGCAGATAATTACCTAAAAAATGTAACCAAGCCACATTTTTCATTAGTCCAATACTTCCTCAAGATGTCAGGAAGGCAATCTTACTCCTAAAAGATTCATATTCTTTGGATGATTACTGCCTAAACAAGCGCTATCTTGAAGAGTTGTGATATTTTAACCGAACCGCTATCTGTTCTGTACAGTAAATATCTATAATGTGTTTGGCCAGACGCTTTAAAAATATCGAAAGTAATACCAGTTTACAAAAAAGGAGATGGGGACTCCCCTGACAATTATAGGCCAATTGCAATCATCCCTATTATTGCTAAAATTTTTGAGATCCTGTTGAAAGAAAAACTCACCTCTTATAGTGAAAAAAAATCAATACTTTGTCTCTCAATTTGGATTTCGGAAAAACTCCACAACCATCAAAGCATTACTTCACTTGCTTGACGAAGTATTGGACAATATTGACAACCACATAGGTACTATGGCTGCTATGTGCTATTTAACAAAAGCGTTTGACTGCGTTAATACGCAGATACTTCTTCAAAAACTTGAATACTACGGTATGAGAGGTAATGAGCTAGCCCTTTTCCAATCCTATCTTACAAATAGGAGGCAGTACGTCAGTATCGAAGGCATTAACTCTGGAGTGCTGGAGATAAGAAATGGTGTACCTCAGGGCTCTGTGCTAGGCCCATTACTGTTTCTTATTTACACCAACGATCTGCCTCAGAATACTGTCAACGGCTCGTGCATTCTATTCGCTGACGATACTACACTGCTCGCCCGTTCAGATCTGTGTTCTGTCGTGGAAAGCTTGGAACAGGCTAAACGTTGGTTCCTTCCTAATAAATTGTCTCTTAATGAAAGTAAAACCCACCATATCACTTTTTCATCTGATAGGTGGGTATCGAAGTCGGCACCAGTGAAGCTGTTGGGGATGGTTTTAGACACCAGACTTAATTGGGCCTCACATATTGACTACCTCTGTTCCAAGCTCTCCACTCGGGTGTACATACTCAGACAACTTAGCCGATGTCTTAGTGGTCATACACTGAGGGTTGTATATTTTAGCATTTTTCACAGTCACCTGTCCTATGGTACTGTTCTTTGGGGTAACTCGGTTACTGCAAACAAAATCTTCGTATTACAGAAGTCGGCACTAAGCATATTAACGAATTCCAAATTTCGAGCTACTTGTAGAGACCTGTTTAAGAATAATCGGATACTGCATTTAGCGTCAATCTATATTTACGAGTCATTGCGATACATTCACGCTAACCTTAGCAAATACTCAACCCCCAGTAGTACCTACCGCTTGAGATCAGCGGATACGTTTAGAAATCAGTATTCACGTTTGATGATGACTCAAACCAACAGACCCGATGTAAATATGTATAACCTTCTTGTTAAAGCCTACAGAAAATTTAACATAAATTGCATGTCAACCTCACGTTTCTCGCGTTTTGTAAAGAAATTGTTACTGGAACACTGTTTTTATAGTGTCACTGAGTATATGGAATACCTGATTAATGTAAAATAGTGTTTAGGACCTTACATGTACAATATATGTATATAAAGTGGTGAATAAATGATATGATATTATTATTATTATAAGTGGGGCCGAGCAGGACTTCCAGATCCGCCTGTTGCAGCCTGATACCACACCTAACATACCGATGTGATTTTTAACGGCACACCTCCCGTCATATTGACCACCACGGAAGCCGGTTCGATGCTCTGCATCTCAGCGTTTGTGCTTCTGTGGTAGTAAATACCGCGTTTCACTTGCACTGAGAAACCGCCACCCCGTCTAGTCAATCTGTCAGCTCGGATAACATCGTAATTCGGGAAAGCTAGACGATCTCCCGGATTAAGTAATGTTTCCTGCAGCAAGGCCACATCTATACTTTCGTCCGAAAGAGCTTGATGAAATTCACGTTTTTTTGGGAAGTTCCCTTAGACCCAAACAATTCCAAAAAAGAATTTTGATAAATGCAGGCTGTCGTCTATTGTATCTAGCCATTTGCAGGAAAGATCGCCTGCAAAGCCTGTGTTGCGCTAACCAGATGACTTATGATCTGCTGTAAGGACCTTAGCGCGGTTACCAGGTCCACATTTGGCGTGTTCGCAGAAGATCTCACAGAGGGGGCGGCCCGGGTTGCATCCCCAGCTGCATCCGCACAATTTACATTGCGCCTTTGCGCTATCACTTGCAGATTTTTCCTAGGGGCAAATCTGCCAGTTCGGCTATTCGCTGGGTGCCCCCGCCGAAAAAGTGACGGTATCTATTGGCGTCAACAGATGACGCACACCTTGATACTATTAATGTAACTCGAGTAACAGTATCATGACGTTGCACTATTATGCTTTCCTTAGTCAACGGTTTAGCTTATGCGAATCGTGGACAATATTTAAACAGTACATATTATTTGATAGAGCATTTAGTGTGTCGGTTGGTTGTAAATTTTAGTGTGTCGGTTGGTTGTGATTGCGGAAGAAGGTAGACGGTTCAGTAACGAGGGATATATTCAACACACTAAATAAATACCAATTGAAATAACAGTATTTGTTATGGATACAATGCGTGCCGGGATCACCACGGAACTGGCTGACGAGGGTTGTAGTACCCGATACCGCCGAGGGGCGGAACTATTAATAGCAACGACGAAGGTGTCGTGGCTGATCAAGAGGGTTATTCCGTAGTGCACCCGAGAGATGCAGTCACCACAGAGCCTTATTTTAGAAACTAGTACGAACTTTATATCATGTCAAACTTCGCGGTCCAAAATCCAGAAACGTTTGCTAATTTGCGCGGATCATTTTGCACACCATTTTATGTATTAGTTACAACACTAATACGAGATAAAAAATTCACCACAGGACCATGAAGAAGAAGATATCGCCCAATTGTTGGTGTGGGAGAGATCATGTTTGTAGCTTAAAATTGAAAAGAAAATGTCATAGCACGTTACGAGTATGTCATAGCAGGTTACGAGCAATTTAACATGACGATTATTGTGGACACAAAAACTGAGAATGCTTTTAAAATCTATATTGAACGAAATTTATGTATTCAGCCTACAAATAGGACTCCTATGTACCATCTCTAAATCTACCTTTGGCCCAACCAAGTCTCTGATGTTATTAAGCCCGTATTTGATCATGGTAGGTCTTTCTAGAGAAAGTCCCCATGCTATCACACATACATCATCTGGCAATCCCATGGGTAGCAACATCTCGGGTCTGAAAATAAATGACAATATTATTTACAAAAAGATGATAGGTAACAGGATTGCTTGGATAATAATAATGTTAATATGTCTGTTGCCTTTCTTGGAGGGCAGTTTGCTATAGTTCTAGGGGATTACCATTCCCTGACAAACAAAAATGGGAATAGGCAAACTAACATGCAGCTGATAACATAACGATGAAAATGGACGCCCCACGGTTCACCCACTTGTGTACCAGGAAAATTCTGACACGTTGATCGGGTAAAACTAATGCATACCTGAAAACTCCAGAATTTCCTATTTCAATCCATTTTCCTAGACCAGGGTGGAAACAGAATATTTCCATGCTAGGTTCAGTGTATGGATTGTATGCAGGTTTAAATTCCAACTGAACCATGCCCAATTTCTTGAAAAATTCAGTAAACACGCCAATTAAGTCACCTAAAGTAAGATTGAAGTCTGCAATCAAGCCTTCTACTTGATGGAATTCTGCCAAGTGAGTAGCATCCAGTGTCTCGTTCCTGAATACCTTAGAAAAAATAAAAAAAGAACGAATGCAGTTTGGGTTACAAAAGATTCAAATTTCGAATAACCTTCACACGTTATTATTTGTATTCGTACTAATAGAAAAAGCAAGAAAAACCGTTAAGGATTTTCGTTGTTTTAGCTGAAAATAATAATAATAAACGTCTTTATTAAATAATACATACAGTACATGTATACACGGTAAACGAAATTTGTCTGAATGCTTGAGCTCAATGGAGAGAAGCGCGAGAAGTGTGTATCGACACATGTTAGAAAGATATAGAAACTGGCTGAAGAGCGACCCTAAACAGATTCAAGACAATTCACAAATGTGTACGCTCAAAATAAAACCATTATTTTCCATAAGCGTCTTAATTCAAGGATGTGGTGTAACATATACTGGCAACGCGGCAGATTGCCGGGTCAGCGTTGCTAGGCAACGCGGTGATGAGCTCCGCTATCCAGCCGGCTTCTATCTCTTTCTAACATATGTGTCTATACACACTTCTCTCTCGTACACATTGAACCAAAGCCTTTTGATAACAAGTTTTATACCCCCAATATTTTAGCACTATTGGCGAGCTGGAGCTGCTTATCGTCGGTGTTCATATTGAAGCGCGAAAAACGTAGTTTCTCCTGCTCTCAGAGCAAAACAATGAACTCTTAGATTTTTCAGGGTTTATGCTGAGTTTGTGATCTGCAGAAATTTTGCATAGATTATCAATAACTTCTCGCAATACAGGAACAGTGCCTCTATATCTGAAATAATGAGACATCGAATGATTGAATATCTGAGTTGAGAACTCATCTAGATAAACAAAGGTATAAATTAAGAACAGAAAATGTCCCAGAATGGAACTCTGTGGCCTCCTGAAGAAATGCTGGTGAGATCAGATGTTATACCCTTCAAGGAAACACAATGAGTTTCTGTTTTCAAATAATTTGATTACAACCTCATCACAACCACCAGAATATAGCTTAGCACATAACAGTTTATGATCTTATCGAGGGCTTTAAAGTAGTCGACTGATATCAAAGCCAAACTCGTTTTTTGTCAAATTGTAGAATGCCTCTATGGCCTCCTATTTTTATAGTTTTCTAATGTTCCGTGCCAGCGCTCTATTTTGAGGTTATGTTACAAATAACTATTTGCATCAAATTGTTCAAGTTTTTGATTTATATCATCTGTTATATCAGCCTGAAATTTCCTACAATTCAAAAAGAAAACATAGCCTCATAATAGGGGAGCGCTGATGCTGACACGGAACAGTAGAAATCTAGAAATACCCCAGCCTTTCTGAAGGAAATAAAAGACAAACAAAATCAAGAACGCCATAAAAACGTCCTACAATATTGTAGGAACGACTGACGATACGACCCTAAATCCCGGATGATTGATTAGCTGGAATTATCTGATGTTCTTCAATGTACAATTTCAGTTGAAGCTGAACAATCTTTTCAAATATTTTCGATAAAATAGGTAGAAAACTAATCGGTCGGAGATCTGATAGGATACAGGATGTCAAAGTTTTTGCTATTGGTACTATATTATCAGTGCCTGCTTTCAGATTTTAGGGAAGTGAACGGTTTCACAATGTAAACTAAGTGGGAAAATATAACTTTTACCATAGTTAGCGTAAGACCATCTAATTTAAGGATTTAATTGTTTATAGAATTTCTGAGGGATCATCGATTTTGAATGCCAAGGAACCAGGTGGAAAGAAGTAACGATTTTTGTATAAGTAACATAATTCTTCGGAGGCAAAAAGTGTTATTCATATGAGTGTACGAGTGTAAGATGGTGTTTTTCCAGAACAAATTTAATCCAGCATTTTGGGAATTAGGATGAGTTTTTACCGAGCGTTTCTCGTATACACTATACCTGAAGTTTGGCAATGATGTTTACATTCCCACATTCCTTTACGACAATCACCTGCCATCTGTCGACGCATCACTCTTCCGGTTCGCTCATTTTCTCCACGTGAAACAGATGTAGGAGGTTAGAAGGGACTTTGCCGGTTTTATCCCCCAAAATTGCTTGTCGATCATTTTTATGTGTTCGGGTATATTGATATATAGTGTTAACACCTAACGATGGTTTCCGTCGTTATCAATAAACCCAGTGTGTCCGTCCTTTTGGTTTTACATTTGTAACAAGTGCTCTCATCCACGCTTTCGTTTTGAAACACCATTTGGCTGCAACCTCAGCGACGAGTAAGTTGTCTGATAATTCAAACCCTTCCCGTATTGCTTGCTAGCTTCATATTTGTGTTTTCAGCTAATGAAGATGGCTCCATAGAGAATGCCGAAAGCTCGAGATTACCGTTAAAAGAGTTTACTGAAGCCTAAAAAAATTTGCCAATTTCCCAATTAACAATTGATTGCATTATATATATATATATATATATATATATATATATATATATATATACAATTACTTGTTAATTGGGAAATTGGCAAAACTTTTAGGCTTAAGTTGACTCTTTTGACGATAAAATCAAGCTTTCGGCATTCTCTATGGAGACATCATCAGGACACACAATTGTGATGCTAGCAAAGAAAACAGGACAGATTTAAAATGTCAGACAACTTATTCGTCGGTGAGGTTGCAGCCAAGTGTTTCAGAAAGAACGTAGAGAAGATCGAACTTGTGATCAGTATAAAAATAAAAGGACGGGGACATTGGGCTTGTTAAAAAACGACAGATACCTTCGTTAAAAGTTAAGAAAAAATAAAAATTATATCAATTCACCCGAACAAGTTAAAAATATTACACGTCGGGAGACATTTTGTTGAAACAATCCGAATGCAGTCCCTAACCTTCTACTACCGCTACACGTGGAGAGGGTGAAGGCACGCAAAGTTAAAGCGTCGACAGATGACAAGTGATTGACGCGACGGAACGTGGAAATGTACACCTACCTGTCCAACTTTGGGTATGAAGTATACGAGGGACGCTCGGTAAATCTCCACCCAAACATACTAAATTGCTGAAATAACTTGTTTTGGAAAAAAGTATATATATATATTTCTTTGGGTAGAAGCCAAAGTATTGCAAAAGAACTTAACTTAACTTAAAATCACAAGCTTTCGAAGATTTTTTTCTTCATCGTCAGGAGCTGGAAACATATATTAAAATAGCAACTAATAGTAATTAGCAGAAAATTACTTACTTACTAAGTCGGCGAGATTGTTGCTGAAATTGTTTTTTAAACAACTGTGAAGGGAACACATAGTCGACGAATAAAAAACTGGACCGATGAGGTTCGATTAGGACGGAATTATTTTATTGTTAAATGGCAAATCATTTTGAAAGGTTTTAATTAAAATTAGGCGTTGATTGATTTTTTAAGAAATTTGGAGATATGCGTAGACGACGCCAAGTTGATTGACATCCGCTTTTTTGTTCATGCAGTTGTCATAAAGATATGTGTCATTTCCAAAAACAGGCGTTTTGTTAGATGCTTTTCTCTGTCTAGCCCCTTGATATCATTGTATCCCATTTGATGCCCTGTGGAATTCACGTTTTGAAGCTAGAGCATATCTTTCTGGATGCAGTCTGGCATCACTTTTATGCGAGGTTATTCTACCTTTAAGGGATCTTGAGGTTTGACCTATGTATGTGAGATTGCAGTTATTACAATTGATGGAGTAGACAATGTTGGATAGGCCAAGCAGAGGAACTCTATATTTCATTTTGGAGAAGACATTGACTGTGAGTGAGGATTTGTAAGCAATGCGGCAATTTAACTAACCCCAAAACTTTCACACAACAGTTAATTGTATTTTGTGCCCAACTGGTCGTTGGCTTTGGCATTGACTACTGCTCACGTAACATCCACAGATTTGGGATACTTCCAACAAATTGAAGAACGTTATGGAACACGCTCGATTTTCTCTACTTTCGTTTTGAAACACCTTGTGGCTGCAACCTCACCGACAAAATCCTGATGATGGTTCCATAGAGAATGCCAAAAGCTTGATTTTATCGTCAAAAGAGTCAACTTAAGCCTAAAATTTTGCCAATTTCCCAATTAACAATTAATTGTAGGTATATGTACAGTGGCAGCGAAAACCACCTATCGAAAAGTTTGTTCCTGGAAATGTCTCACATCTTTATGACAAACAATTGCATGAACAAAAAAGCAGATGTCAAACAACTTAGCGTCATTTATGTATCTTGTTGAGTTATGAAAAATTGGACAGGTATAATATCTCTCCCAACATCAATCTTTCTCAATTGTAATCGCATTAATTGCAAAATTTTCACTATCAAAAATTAGTTTTTCTCCTAATTATTTTTCTCAAGTTTTGAATTTCTTTACTAACACAGTTACAGGACAAATTTTCAATAATTAATTGATCTTCAATTTTTCTAAATCCGTTAATAGTTTTTTGAAAAGTATATCTATGGTTTTACCATTAATCTATAATTGAATACAATTTCTTGCTAATTGAACCTCATCAATCCAGCTTTTTGGTCGTTGACTATGTGTGTTCTCGTCTACTTTCGTCTAAGAAAAATTTCAGCAACAATCTCGCCGACTTAGTAAGTAATGATATTTCTCCTAATTGCTTATTTTTGCTATTTCTAAATTTTGTTGATGCTGATGATGATGCCACAGACCATGACGATCGAAAGCTTGAATTTAAGTTAAAAGAGTGTACTTATGCAAAACGTTGCCTTCATCCCAAAGAAATTCAAATATATATATATATATATATATATATATATATATATATATATATGTATATACAGGGTGACTTCGAAGTTGAGTCATTTATTTTAACAGTGAGTAGATCTGATCAAAAGAAATGTTTTTTTCCTTTAACATTTTTCTGGTAAAATTAAAGTAACAAAGTTATAGCCCTTTAGAAGTTTGAGTATCGCCCTGTCTCAATAATAATATTATGTGCTCGTGTTTGGCAACAACGGATATAATCCGCCATCGGTTCATCGCATCGGAAACAAAAAAGCGAAAGAATTTGGAACGATGTTTTTACAATTATTTTATTCAGTTGTGTTGTATACAGTCAGTGTCAGTCGGTAACACGTGAGTGAATAGTGGTGTTTGTTGCGTGGCTTAAACGAAATAAAAAATGCACATGTTTACGAAAATGCTCAACTTGTGGACATGATTCATTTACGGGGGGGGGGGGGGGGGGGGTGTCTTTATGCGGATCGGTTTGCCGTGCAACCAACCCCTTGTGTTAATGTAGTACAAAGGGCTCGTGAATCAGGTGACTTAAGACCTCACAGGGGAGGGCATGCCGGTGCGCCAAGACCGCACGATCAAATACAGGTCCGCACTGAAATACTTGTCGGGAGGATACTTTATAAAACAAGGTAACAATTTTTTTAATTTTTATTTTTATTTTTACACACATATTTTGGTTTATCTTCCTTCTACAATCATTATCTGAAAATTAATGACTCAACTTCAAAGTCACCCTGTATATATATATATATATATATTAAACTTCTTTTGATTTCATCAACCTTGGATCACGAATGTAACATATATTTTCATAAATACCATTACAGCTCTATATCTTTTTTTTAATAACCATTGGTTAGTGATTTTCTATTTTAGAAATTTTGTATTGCTAATGTACCCATCACTTAACTCATCTTGCGGACTGATTGGTTAGAGTAGTAAATGCTAAACTTCGCCAATCAGTCCGATGTAATTTTGTAATTCCGTTAATAAAGACGTCTATTATTATTATATTGAGTTCTCTTGAATAATTAATACGTATGCAGCAAGTGAGAACAAAGATTTATATGCAATTCTTTCAATTCACGACTCACTGTGCTGCAGTTAATATGTACACGCAGTTGTAACTTCCTTTCTCAGTGCATTTATTGGAAAATCAATGATATGAGTAAGGAATGGTGAGCAACTGTTTTATTAATTTTTTATAACCATATACCTATACACATACAATATATAATAATAAAGTATATATTATCCAACATTTACAAATCAATGAGTATTACGATAGATTTCCCTATATTTATCACGAATTTTTCACTCAAACATTCAGTTCTCTAACAAACTAGATGTACATGAAACTGTTGCTCATGAGCTAGAATTGGACGTAGTCTATCTATCTAAACTTGGGTTTCTAAATTCAGAACTTCAAAATGTAATTTTTCCAAATTATACTATAGTCTCTCAATTCTCTAGGTAATCAAGTGGTCAGGTTTTCACTGCTTCTGTGAGAACGCTTGTATTTGATTGCATGTGTCAAGTCGAGTTGCCGACACAAGATGTTTACGGTGAGAACGGTTCCTAATATATAAAGGAATATATACTAATAATTGCTGAAATGGATTAGTTTTTGTGAAACTTGAATTTGAACAGTTTATGTCGATGCGACATTATATAATAAGACCTTATGTTTTAGCTTATTACCTTTCATTTCCAAGCTGATACCGTATCTTTCTGAACCATATTTAATTTTCTAATGCTTGCTTAGATACCTGATTAAGAATTATTTCATACATTTACCTTATCTATACTGAACAGCTTTATAGGCTTAAACTTTTCCTGTTGAGCTAATTCATACAACATCCTAGCACTAACAGCAGTTGTGTGGGTTCTTAAAAGATTTTTCTGTGCCTCTTCAATCTTCCAATCATAGCCATATCTGAAAATATTTATTAAATATTTATAGCTTTTGTTCAGATTATATTGACCGATAAATTATTCGTCATATGATTCAAACAGCAGTTGGTAAACATCTACTATGAAAACCCAATAAAAGTGTAGCTGTAAATAAAAAAAAGCGACCCACAATGTTTTGAAAAAAATTCTACTAGTGTAAGATCCCAGAGATACAAGGCATTGCAAATTTTCTGTAACACAAAACGTGGGACACTTAATAGCATTTATACGTCTGCTTAGTTGCAAAGTTGGGTAGAATGCCGATTTACTAGTACTAGGTGAGAGTTTCAGTAAAATAAGAATACTTAAATTCTGATGATTGACTTTTATATACAGGGTGTTCCAGAAGTCGACGTCAAGCCGGAAACGGGGGATAGGCCAAGTCATAATAGTTATCAAAAAAATATTGAACCAATCTAAATCATAGGCATAGGCAAGAAATCGGAAAATGTACACCCTGTGATGATGTTTTATCTGCCATTACTACAAATTTCAATTTTTTCTTAGACGGAGTGTCGGTGTCATTCTACGTAGAGACAGAAAGATAGATAATGCCACCTTTATTAATTCGTGAATGTATTAAATTGACAAATGTTCTAACTGCCTTCCTTTGGCGATTGGATTTGAGTAAACTTTTTCTTTCACCGCTCCCTAGTAAAAAAATCGCGTGGATTTAATTCAGGTAAACGGGCTAGCCACGAAATTGTACCAGACCGTCCTATCCATCTGCTCGGGTATTCCGCATTAAAATCTTCTTTAAATGAACAGGCATAGTCCGCCGTCTTGCTGGGCCACATGTCTGAAATGATTTTGTAAAAAATTTAAATAAATTTCGCCATTCAATAACTCTGGCAGCTCAAACGGTAAAATAATTCTCCGTTTAGAATCCCATTCCACATGTTCACTTTAAAACGATACTGTGATCTATCTTCTCTCATCAAATATGGATTTTCTACATGCCACTCGTGTAAGTTGTGTAGATTCATGTAACCATCTTTTTTAAATGTCGACTCATCAGTTCATAAAATTTTCTTTAAAAATCAGGGATATTCCCGGTGTCTCTGTAACATTCTTTGAAAAAAACTCAACTCTTGGAAAATATTCCGGCACGGGTATTACGTATCTTGAGAACTGACATTATGTCGATTTTTTTGACATTATATTGATTTTTTTGTGGCATTATGTACATGTGGTACATAAGATTCGGTGGGTTGTACTTTTGGGAGCTCCCGTGTTTAGTTTTATTTGAAGTACTGAAATACATACTCGGGTATCCTTCAACTGCTTGTAGTACGACGCCCTCGTGCGGAAAGGGAATTCTTCCTTTACCATGTGCAATCTTCCCTTTGAGAGTAAACGGTGCACATCCACAACTCGGTGATCGGGATGACGAGCAGAATAAATGAGGCGCACAATCATGAATATAATAAAAGTGACGTTACTATCTGTCTTGCTGTTACTATGTAGAATCACACTCCATCTAAGAAAAAAATGAAATCTGTTGTAATCGGAAGTTAAAGATCATCACAGGATGTAAATTTTTCCGATGTTTTGCCTGTAATTTGAAAAGTATACGACTGGAGTAAACATACCCTTGTGAACCATATCCTCCCTTGCTGTGTACATTTTTGACCCTCTCCAAGTAATCCGTTGGAAATGAATTACTAATCTTGGGGTTAGAAATGAAAAAGGTATCGTGGGCATCTCTTGCAGGATGTTGTTGGGGCTGAAAAAGGGCATCAAAATTCCAGAAAGAATTCTCGATGTAGTTGTTGGTAGGCATTTCTGAGAACCCCATTTCTAAGAAGATTTGTCTAAATTCGGACCTGACTTGGAGTAGTGGATGGAGATAACCACTTTCCAAGGGTGCTCCTAAAGATTCAAAGTTATAGTCTTTAAATCTCATTTCTTTCCAGCTATTCGCTAGCATCATATCATTTGTTAAATCAGTTTCAAGCTTATTCAAAGTCAAGCTAAACTTAGGACCTTTAGTCAAATTGAAACTCTTTACTACAACTTCCTGTATGAGTTTCCGTTTTTTGTACTCTTGTTTTTCTTTATCTGTAATATTTGATATATCCCCTTTCATTATTTTTCTCATATGTTCTTGAACAGTATCCACAATTTCAGGTACTTTTTTCTTCACTAAAGGTGGTGTGCAAGATTTATCTACTTGAACCCAACCAGCAGACATGGCTTTGCTGAAACCGATCTTAGCATTAGGTAGCTTCATCAACTCTGACTGTTCTATACCGCCATCTGGTATATGTGCAAACACGTTTACTTCATGACTTCCTGAAGGAAAAAATAAACAATAATAATAATAATAATAAACGTATTCTATAGAGGGCGAAGTTTAGCTTGAAGCTATTCTGCCACTTAACCCTTGAAAGTACAAAAACTAAAATAATAATGCCTAAGTAGACTACACAAAAAAATTAAGGAAGCAAGACAAACATTCAAATTTTTCGGTGATTTTCGTCTGGCGGTATTTCGATGAAAAATCGTATCTGAACTGCAAAAAATCATTTTGAAGCTTCCAGATTCTAGTTTTCAGGTTTTTTTGCCGAAAAATTTTAGGACCAACGTTTTTCATGCAATTAGATCAGATGGCGCAAAAAAAATTGTAAAACATTCGCCTTCCTTTTAGTTCACGGACTTGAAACATTTTTTTCTGTTAGGCCATCATATGGATCAGGTAGCCTGTTTATTCCGCTTTTTTTATACCGAAGCAGCCGCGCAGGCAGAAGCCTAAATGCCGCGAGGCGGCGGCTGCTATGATGATCCCAAAGAAATTTTGTTAATGCGATTTTTGAACTGCCTAAGGTTAGCAGAACTGGGAAAAGCTTCCTCTTGTAGATTGTTCCACAATCTGGACACCCTCGGGACAAAGGAGCGGTCGTATCGGCCAGTTCTGGATGTACGAAGTTCGACACGGTTAGGATGGGAGCTCAAAGTCAGGCGGGTCTGTCCGACAGGCACATCGCGCGGCGGCATCATGGAAGAGAGCTCTGAGGAGCAAAGGTGTAGCGGTAGAAAAGAGCTAGATCGGCGACGGTCCGCCGGTGCGAAAAGGTCGCGAGACAGTCTGTTAGAGAAGAGTCACCGATCAGTCGGACCGCCCTCCTCTGGACAGTATCGAGCATAAATAATGTAGACGGGCAGCAGCACCCCAAACGTATAAGTAATACTCGAGGCTAGGCCTTATCTGGGCCTTGTATAGAGTGAGAAGGTCATGCGGAGAAAAGTACTTCTTAGTCCTAATGAAATAGCCTAGCTTTTGACGAGATGTATTCGTGCCAGATCAGGTCCTCGGTGATCTGGACTCCGACCAGCCGAAATGAATGCTCTTTGGCAGGACTCGGCCATCCATTGAAATCGGATGAGCGCTAGGACGCTTTTTGTTCGTCAAAGTACAGTACTGTGTTTTGGAAGCATTAAACTGTACAAGGTTGTTGTGTCTCCAAGCAGTGATAGGCTCCAGATCTCTCGTCAGAGAGGAAGTCGTCGCTAGTCTGTCCATGGTGGAGTTGGCAGCAAAGATCTTGGCAAGCACTTCCACCTTGGCCTTTGAGTCGGATACAATCGTTCCATCCTGACACGTAAGTGGTGGAAGGGTACTCTTTGAAAAGTTGCCTTCAATCAGCTTGGTCAGCGACTAGCAGAAGAGAGTAATCAATTTCAAAACCAATTGTGTGGGAAGTTCTTTTCAATCTGCTTGGCCAGCGTCCAGAAATACCGACTGGTTTTTGGTTTTTGGCATTGCGAACCGCTTATTTATATTTGTTTCCGGACTCAACGTAGGCTTGTCTGTTCTCTACAGTGGGGTTTTGTAAGAATGTTCTGTTGGCGTTGATCTTCTGCTGGTGAGCAGTGTCACACGATTTGTTAAACCAGCCGTTGGACCCTGGTTTAGGCACTTTCACTGTGAGAGGGTTGTATTCCTCCATTCCGACGTGGATAATTTCGGTTATCAAAGTACAGACAGTCGACGCATCCGCGTCAGTGAAACAGGCATCTCTCCAAGGAAAGGTAGAGAAGAAGTCTCCGAGCCTCTCCCAGTCGGCATGTCCGTAATGCCAAGTTTTGCGGCCTGTATGAGTTTCTGCTGCCACAGCGGGTTCTGACCAAAACCTAACGTCCACAACACCGTGGTCTGAGTTACCCAGGGGGGACAGGGCAGCAGTAGTGTAAGGGACAGGATGCGTGGTCACAAAGTGATCCAGCAGGCTACTGGCATGTGACGAGACGAGGGAAAAAAGTATGGCTGGTCACCAGCTGAGTCAGCCCTTCAGAAGAGCGAACGCTTCGACTGCACGACCTGCTGCATCGGTCTTGTTTGAGCCCAACCAAAGCTCATTATGGGCATTGAAATCACCGAGCAGAACTACCTCTGAAGCGGGGTCATTGATGTTCAGGAAGTCGATCTTGACGGCGAGGTATTCAAGTAGGTCATCCCAGTTATGGTCCGACGGAGAGCAAATAAATTTGGGGGATGTTTTGGAGTTGAGGCGAAGCCACAGAATGTCCTTCCGGTCTGATTCCAAAGAAACATATCTGAAGCAGGAAAGACTGTTGCGGACAAAAGCCACAACTCCCCCGTTCTTTCTCAGATTAGAGTGCACCTCGTAATTTGGGCAGCTAAGATGGTTTATCGGTGCAGACTCAGAGATTTTTGTCTCCGCCAAGAAAAGCATGGCGGGACGATTACTTTGCATCAATGTTGCTGTTAATCCCGCAGATGTTCGTGGAACAAATTTTATCTTCGATGTTGTTCCCTCGAGCCCACCCTCCGCCAGGACATTCTGAGAGTGGAGTAAGTTTACGTCCGGAATTCTTAGTGCTCGAGGGATCCATCATCATTCATATCTTTGTTTTGGAAGATAACCGACTGCATAGCTTAGGTGTGGAAACATGCGGACATTTATAAGACACCCTGGAAAAAGCTTGTAGGTGGTAACGCCTCGGTCGACTGGTCCTTGCCTACCACCTTCATTTTGCGTGTTAATGATATTAAATAGACCTAAAGTGGCCCGTTGGCGGACTTGTACCGCAACCCGGCAATCGGTGCTGAGGTATTGCTTAACGCGTGTACAATCACGGGAAGAAGTTATATACTGGATACAACAACTTCCGAAACAAGCATTTGCCACGGCCCCGCTCAGTAGGGTACACTATTATTATTTTTGTTTCCTTAGTGTTGATTTTGAAAAAGTTACAAAAAGTAACTTTTTCTTTCCTTGTTTTGAAAAATCAACCACATTTTTGGGACTACTAATGAAAAAAATAAAAAATCATTTTTCTTCTTTTGTTGTCAGTATTGTATGTATATCTGTAACACTTTCAATTTTAAAAAAGCAATTGGAAAAGTTGTATTCTTTTATTCATGGGATACTCAAAACAAAAACATGCTAACCAGGAGCGGATCTAGAAAATATATTTGAGGGTTTCCAAACGCGGATTTAGGAATTTGTCGGTCCGGAGAAACGGTAAAATGGGTCGATCTGTCGTGAGAACCGTTGCTCCTAAAATTTTTCTACTAAAAGACCTGAAAACTGGAATCTTAAAGCCACACAATGCATTTTTTAAAGTCTAAAGGCCGCTTTCCACAAAATACAGCCTATCAAAAATCACCGAAAAATTTGGATTTGTTTCTTGCCACCGTAATTTTTTCGAGTAGTGTATATAATATTGTAGTCATAGTACGAGTAGTTAATGAATATTTAATTATACGTATGAATGTACATCGAAAAGAAAGATTTTGTAAAATGAGGGTTCAAACTATACTGGTGAATACTTGCCTAAAATAAATTGTCTAATTTGTTCTTTTCATATATTGTAATTCAGTTATTTTAATAATGCCTGAGGTACTCCATTATATCACACTGTGAAGTAGATTTCGGGAAATAAGACTGTTGTTCGCCCCACATTTTACATCAGAAATGGGATAAAAACAGTGCCACGTTTTCCACCTGATATAGGTCGATTGGTTAGAGCAATGACAATGCTTGCGATAGTGCCGAAGTTGCAAACCTTACAATGGTGCATGCTCCATTGAAGAATGCTCCAAAGATGCTGCTGTTCTAAGGAATGAGCTGAATATTAGAGATAATTTGATGACACCTAAAGCAAGTGAGTCTCCCAAAAAACGTGCTTATCACTAAAGCTGCGATTGGAGACCTGGTCTAGAACCCGGGGATGTCTTCCATGGAGAGCCTTGCTGCGTCATTCTTGATTTTTCACCTCTCTGCTATAGATTGGCTCATTAGCTTGAACTTCTTAACTTGCTAAATTCAGTGGTATGTACGAGTGATCGGTCAACCAAGTACTTTGATGAAGGTATGATATTAGCTTTCTTCGGTGGAAGTAATATCTCATCAGTTTAATCTGCCTGTTATGGAGCAGCTCTTCAGCACCAAGTCAAATTTGAATGTTGTGCAGAGAGATTAAGGTTAATACCTTTCCAAGTATGGTCATATTTGTCGATTATTGTTTGAATTTAAAGAAAAACATGAAAACCGGAATCTAATTGTTATCTGGGATGAGATATCAAAAAAATAGATTCAGAGCACAGATCGTGTGGGTTTAATGCAGAGTTCCCCAAACTTTTTTGTGTCGTAGACCCCTTGCCATGTTTTTCCGTGTTGGGTAGACCCCCTACTTACCTGATATTGATTTCCTGTAAATTTCTAACTGTAGTGAAGTTTAGTGTTAAAAACTTAAAGTAAAAACACATGTTAATTTATACATTTATTAATTGAATTTAAATTAAAACTATTCAAAATAAAATTTTGTATCTGTTATGTTAAATATACGTAACATTAAATAAACAGGTGTCTGACCAATAAGTGCCCGCATTGCGAATAAGTGCCCGCATTGAAAAAAAAAAATAAGAGTGTTAATATAAAAAAAAGTGAAAAATAATAAAAAAAGTTTTTTACTTAAAATAGTACAATAAGCGAGTTCGTTTATTAATTATAACATACACGTATGTTCTACAATAATTTCACTGTTAGTTTGATTAAATTCCGCTTCTTATACGTTTAAGTTATCTAAAAATAGGCAAAAAATTAACGAATTTTAGTGTGTACCTATCCTTGAATTTTCAGAACAATTTAAAATATATATATATATTTTCTATAAAGGGGGGTTCTTTAAAAAAATCAATGCGGGCACTTATTCCCAATGCGGGCACTTATTCCCAATGCGGGCATTTATTGGTCAGACACCAATAAACATAAAATAAACTATAAATAAAATAACAATAAGTCAATATTTTTAGTGAGAAGGTTGAA